TTACCAATGTACATTGCCAAAGAGCCACAGTAATATGTCAGCAGCCCCCCATCTGCTCCCCAGCGCCTCCTGGCAGCCTCGCTGATCAGCGCCTACTCCCCCCCTCCCCCTGCCCACTGCAATCAGCTGTTTCACGTGCACAGGAGGCTATGGGGGGGAGGGGGAGGAGTGAGGGCATGCAAGGGGAAGGGGCAGGGGCCTTGGGGGAAGGGGTGGAGTGGGGGCAGAGCAGGGGATTGAGCAGTGAGAACCCCCCAGCAAATTGGAAAGTTAGCATCTATAGCTCCAGCCCCAGAATCAGTGCCTAGGTAAGGAGCCGCATATTAAACCTCTGAAGAGCCGCATGTGGCTCCGGAGCCACAGGTTGGCCACCCCTGGCTTAGAGCTTAGTCTTCAATCGTAAATTTAAGATTGTTGTCACTATAAATATAGCTGAGTGTTGTATGTTATAGAGGACCTGTTCCTGAGTTATACACACAAACCCAAACACCTTTGTCCCACCCCCTGCTCTGAGGCCCTGCCCCTTCTCTCAGGCCCCCTTCCCCACTCACTCCATCCCCTCTCCCTCCGTTGCTTGCTCTCCCCCACCCTCCCTCACTTTCACTGGGCTGCGGCAGTGGGTTGAAGTGTGGGAGGGGATGCGGGCTCTGGGCTGGGGGGTGGGACCGAGGAGTTTGGAGTGTGGGAGGGGGCTAAGCCTGGGGCAGGGGTGTAGGAGGGGTTGTGGGGTGGAGGCTCTGGGAGGGGGCTCAGGACTGGGGCGGGGGGGGGGTTGGGATGTGGGCTCTGGAAGGGAGTTTGGGTGCACGAGGGGACTCAGGGCTGGGCCAGCAGTTTGGGTGCAGGAGGCAGTTGGGGTGTGGGATGGTGCTTAGGGCTGGGGCAGGGGATTGGGGGTGTGGGCTGTGGGAGGGAGCTCGGCTGGGGCAGGGGCTGGGGGTGCAGGAGAGAGTTGGGGTGTGGGCTGTGGGAGCCGGTTCGGCTGGGGCAGGGGGTTGGGGTGTGGGAGAGAGTTTGGGTGCAGGGGGCTCAGAGCTGGGGCAGGGGGTTGGGATGCAGGAGGGTGTTTGGGTCCGGGAGGGGGCTCAGGGCTGGGGCAGGTTGTTGGGGTGTGTACAGGAGTGGGTGAGGGGTGCGGGCTCCGGCCGGGCGGTGCTTACCTAAGGTGTCTCCCAGGAAGCAGCCAGCATGTCTGGCTCCTAAGCTCAGGGGCGGTCAGGTGGCTCCGTGCATTGCCCCTGACTGCAAGCACCACCCCCGCAGCTCCCATTGGCTGCAGATCCCAGCCAATGGGAGCTGCGGAGTCGGCGCTTGGGGCGGGGGCAGCGCACAGATACCCCATGGATGCCCCTGTGCCTAGAAGCCGCTGGCCGCTTCTGGGAGCCACGCAGAGTTAGGACAGGTAGGGAGCCTGCCTTAGCCCCACTGCGCCGCTGGACTTTTAGTAGCCTAAAATCTCTCAGATTGGCTTCAATAGCCTCCGGGAGATCAAACCCAATTCATGTTGACTCCTGGCCAATCCGGGAGGGTTGACAACCCTAGCTAGCTATGTGTATACTGTTCCCTTAGGGACAGCAAATATGGTAAATGCCCAGTGCTTAAAAAGCTGGATACTGTAGGGGTGGGGGAGTCTTCAGAGGAGCTCAAGGACAGGGATCACCTAGTGTTAACCTGTTAGGCAAATTTAGGACTGGCATATACCCAGAAGAGAGTGTGTGAGTGGCTGAATGGCTGGTAGTATCAGGGAGCTTTCATCCAGCTACAGGTGACTCCCTGTTGCTGGTGGAGGGGGTAACAAGATGAATCAGTCCTGGGCACCCTGAGAAAGCATCGCACCCTGTTCAAATCCTACATTTCAGGGGAGTGCCCTACGTAGGGGGCTGATGGGGGAGGGCAGTGTGGTCCCGGAAGGTCTACTGTTGAAGCTGTTACACTTAGGATAAATAAAAGGGTCATTGAGAGAGAGGCCAGAGAAGAGTGAGAATGCCTCTATAACCTTGTGGTTAGGGAGGTGGAAGCCTGAGGGTCCAGTCCCCCTGCTCCAATGACTAATCATTTATCTAAAGTAGAGCAGTGTCAAGAGGACATATCGAGAGAAGCTCACCCCAATCAGACTATCCCATAGCTCACTGGTTAGCAGGTTCTTCTGAGAGGCAGGAGATGTCTGTTCAAATCCCTTCTCTCTATCATCCAGATGGGAGTGGTGCTTAGGAAATACCTCTGGCATCATTATCAGTTCTTGGCTAGTTTAGGTAGGAAAGTGATTTTTGTGGATCACATTCTTGGGCACATATCTCTCCCCATTCATTGTCCAAGAAGACTGGGCACCTACTAAGGCTTTGTGGAGTCTAGTGATTTTTTTCCCCCTAAGTGCCTAACTGTCAGGTTTGACACAGCATTGCAATGCCTAAGTCGCTTTGTGGCTCTGGGCTTCACTCATGGGAAGCTGTATTGCTCTGCTATACGAAAAGAGCCAATAGGCACCTTCATGCTCTTTGTATTTATGGCAGACTGTAAAATTCACTTTGGGCTAGATTCACAAAGCTACATAGATGCCTAAGGCCCAACGTTTAAGGGCCACTGACATTCTCAAAGCCACTATTCAGCTGCTGCCTAACCCAACAGGGGCTTACCTTTCTGCTGGTACACAGGCACAAAGCCACCCAAGGCCTGTTGCTGCCCCACTCCTAACCAGCTACTCCAATCCCTAGCAAGTTTCTCAGGCTAGGTCTTTCCCTGCCTGTCGCTGTAGGAGGTCTCACAGCGCACCTATGGGACCTCACACAAAAGGGGCCCTGGGGTCGGTGGCTGTGTCCCATACTACGCACTGGTTTGAGTTCTCCCGTCTGCCTGTTTTGAAACAGAAACTTGAACACAGGTCTCCCCTCTCAGAGGTGAATGCCCTAATCACCAGGTGGGGCTGGGTCCCTTCCATGCTCTCCTGTTGAAATTTTTGCACTATACATACATAAAGCCAGAGCGAGCCTAGTGGTTAGGGTATGCAGGTGCACATCCTTGCTCCAATGAATAGTTATTTATAAACAATGGAATAGCACTAACAGATGAGCTTGAGAAAGCCCAACTAACCTAGCCAACAGCTTGGTGGTGAGGGCACACCCCAGGGATTTGGGAGACCTGTGTTCCCCTCCAGATAGAGCAGTGATTTGACCCCAGGGTGTTCCCCTGCCAGGTGAGTAGTACCCTACTAATAGGCTATAGGAGGGCTCTCTTTTGCTTTTCCTAAGAAAAGGCATGGGCTACCTAAGGTGCTGACCTGGCTTAAGTGCCTAACTCTAGGAGCAGGTTCTTGCTGAGAATCCCAAGCTGCTGAAGGGCCCTATCTCTGGCCTGTCAGTCTGGGGCCTAAATGCCTTGGAGATTCTTGGCCCTAAGATCTCTTTGCTCTGTATTGCACACCTGGCTAGCTTAGGAAGCTCCTCACTCAGCTGCTGAGGCCCTTCTTTAGACACCTAACTCTCCTCATGCACAGTACGAGGAGCCTGGATTCCTGAGGATCCACTAGGCACCAGGGCCCCTAACAATCAGACATTGAAACACCTTGTGACTTTGCACCCCATAATGCTTTATAGAAATATGCTTTGAGTGTAAATGTTAATAGATGCTTTCTTATAATGTCTTAGTTTGTACATTTTTATTGCAAATATGGCCATGTCCTTTCCCTCCGACCAAAGTCTGGACTGAATTAACTGAAGTGGTTTCTTAATGAATTTTGAAAATTAAAAGCAAATGCAGTACTTAGGAGCTCAAGTCAGCTCGAACTATTGTAAGCTTTTCTGACGCCATAGTGGGAAAAGGCTTATCCTGTCTTTTGACACTGAGGCCAGCAGTAGAGCCACATCTCCCACTAAGGCCATGTCTACACTACAAAATTATGTTAACCTAACTTACATTGGTATAAAGCCGCCAGAGTAATTACAGTACATCGCATAAAGAATGAGGAGTACTTGTGGCACTTTAGAGACTAACAAATTTATTTCGGCATAAGCTTTCGTGGGCTAAAACCCACTTCATCGGACGCATGCAGTGGAAAATACAATAGGAAGATATACACACAGAGAACACGAAAAAATGGGTGTTGCCATACCAACTCTAACAAGACTAATCAATTAAGGTGGGCTATTATCAGTAGGAGAGAAAAAAAAAAACTTCGTGTGGGTCTACACTTTGCTCCTTGTGTCAGCGGTGCATGTCCTCACCAGGAGTGCTTGTATGGATTGCACTATCAGCGTGGGGCATTGTGGGACAGCTCCTGAAAGCCAGTAACAGTCAACATAAGCAACACAGTTTCTACACTGACACTGTGTCAACATAACTACATTGATCTTGACTCTTAGCTGCTTGTGGAGGAGGCGTTATTAGGTTGGCCTAAGGGTCAATTATGTCAGCGGAAGCGAAATTTAAGTGTAGATACGTCCATAGTTAGGTTGATGTAAGCTGCCTTGCATCGACCTAACTCTGTAGTGTAGACCAGATCTACGAAAACCTCAGAAGCATGCCCCACCCTTTGAAAGCATAGAATTAGATTTCTAATGGTATATAAACAAATGGAAATGTATTCCCTAATATTTGCATACCTTAGCTTTGCCACAACCAGGGCCAAACATTTAAACTAGCTGCTTGTCTAAGATGAAATACATCCAGATAAACATACGTGCTCCACTACTGGATGTAACAGGTATAGATCACCTGTGGTTTTCTCCTGCAATCCTTTACTTCTCCACCACAACAGCAAAATGAACTGAGCAGCCTTGAAATCAGAATGCACGGCTTCTGACACCACAGTTAACATTCAGTCAGCCAGAAGGATGTGCTCATACCAGTCAGCACACTACATGATAACCTGGTCTGGGAAGTGAGAATTTCAAGATCCCTCAAAGCCAACCCAAAACTCCCTTTTTGGCAGCATAGCATGCCTGCTTCATGATACCTTTGTCTAAGTGCCCCTTGGTACAATTCAATCAAAATGCAAAGACACCACAGATTGTTAAAGTGTAGTTTTTATTAAATTATAAATTTTGTAACAAAAACAAGACAGATCAACAAAGACCTCAAAAACAAACTACAAGGACTAGACAGCAAAGCCAATGAAAACGCCATGAAGTGTGTACAGATAAGAATTTTCAACAAAAGTTAATAGCATTTTTACATTTCCATTGCATGAAGATAAAAATGATTTCTTTGTCTAATAAAACACATCTTAACTCCAAACTCACATATATTTTCTCACATTAAATTAAGCATCCTGCTCATACCCAATATCTTGTCTGTTCCCACATTGCTTTAGTGTTCTTTTCATATATCAATCCATGCAGAAAGTAGTAAGACACTTAATGCAACAGTCATATAATGAAGACAATCTGAGTTGTACAGTGGATATACATTGGCCAAAAAGGGACTGAGTATCTCCACGGGGTAAAATGCTACAAAATAAACACAAAAGACATTTTCAAGAAAACTGGGTATTGCTAAGTAGCTTTCAAACCATTAACAAGACACCCCAGTTTCTTACAGTTAAAGAGTCTTCCAGCTGAGACATGTTGAGAATTTAAGTTAACAGGCCAAATCTGTTTCTCCCCTTTCCCCCCCTCCCACTTCAAATACACTGCTAGGTTTGAGTGCAATGCCAGCATGGACAGAAAATTTACAGATACTGGACTGAGTTTTTAAAACACATGGCTCTAAATTTAAACTTCAGTTACCGTGCACTGTCCATCAGGCCTTCTAGATCTTACACTGGTGCTTACTGCCCCACCCCCTGCCACTGGTCTCTCTATTACTGATTGGTTTGCATTCGCATTCAAGTGTCTTTGCTGGGCAGAGGACGTGTGTTGCTGAAGTTGAGCATACACATCCTCACTATCGCTGCTATCATCCGATTCGGTTTCCTCAACGGAGGTATCAGGGGCTGGCACCCTACCAGAAGACGATGGCTCATGGTCTTCCTCTCCCTCTCCCCTATGACTTCTTTCAGCCATGTTGTCTCCGTTTATTTGTAAGTGGGCAAAAGAGTTCTCTAAAGAAGTGCTTGCATCAGGTGATGGCGTTGCAGGACTCGTCAGCTGACCATCTAGTGAAGTTAGGGGTCTAGCAGAAACGGATGCTAGAGGCTGCGCAGCAGCAGCCCCCAGAGCCGATGTACTGTCTGCGCCATCAGCAGAGCTCTCTCTTCCTAGATTGACAGTGTTAGAATCACAGTCCAACCTAAGCCCGGCCACTCCCTTCTTTGGTATATCTATTATGTCCCGTTTTATTTTCCTGCGACGTCCATGCTCATTTCTCCTATACTGAACCATGTTTTCGAGATCTGCTACATACAAAAACCCAGCAATTAACATTTCAGTACTCTTTTTACCTTTGGAAAAGGCATCTTCCAGCTCCCTACTGGTACGTTCATCATATTGCCACCAACCATTTCTACCTTCATAGTACCAAGCATATTCCCCATTGCCTCTGCTCGCCACTTTGAGTTCCTCTGGCGATAGTAAGGTTGGCTTGTCAAGAAAGTCCTCAGGAATCTCCTGCCGACACAGTGCACATCGTTTTCCAAGCCAGGAAGCTCCCTTCACACACAGATAGCAGAAAACATGTTTACAAGGCAGACTCACTGGGTGGACACACGTTTGCAGACAGATAGCACATTCAGGGACTGTCAGGGAAGGTGTTGTATTGGAACATGACTCATTTGTCTTCCTATTAGTGGGAAGCATGTTGATCGAGTGATCAATTTCACCACAGCCAGCCATCCTACAAAGAATCAGAAATAGATTTAAGTCAGGTTATAAGTATTAAGCCAAATCAGTACCTTAACTCACCTAAGACAGTACTAACCACAGAAGAAATAAAAGCTTTCCATGAAGTTAAACTTTTGGACAATCAGATATGAAACAAACTGAACATTTTAAAATATTTAAGTTTTATAGGTGCATACCTTTAGGAAAGATTATAGCATTCTGTTCCCTAGTTCAGGGACATTAACAAAAACAATGGCTTCCAAATACCAAGTTCAGCATCCCAACCTTGTTGTCTATTTCAGTTTTAGTATGCCAGTTCAGACTAATTGGTTTGCAGTTCCTTCTGTGCTCCCAGGCAGGGTGTTAGCTAATCAATAAGGAATTTTCTTTTGTGCATACTCTGCTTGAGTGCATTCAGTCAGCCAGCTGTTTGTATGCCTCTTCAAGAAATGAACAGCAGCTGAGAGTTTGTAAATCTTGCTTTCATGACAGAAAATCCTCAAGAAGTGCTCTGCCTGTAGGCACCTACATGAAGCAACTTATAGGGCTTGTCTTAATAATGCTGGTGAGCATCAACTCAGGAGTCTAGAAGATGGAAATACCTATTCAGCAGGCTTCTCCCACCCCCACAGCACTCTATGGGATGTTCTCATGAGGGACTTTCCTTCCTTCCTCTCATCTAATAGCCCTCAAGAGTCAGCTAGGCACCCAGGCAAAAGAAGTAACTTTGTGATGAATGGTGAGTGTTGTAGAGCAGTGACTTTCAACCTTTTCAGACTTCTGTACCCCAACCCTTTCAAGAGTCTGATTTGTCTTGCATAATCCCAAATTACACCTCACTTTAAAAACTACTTGCTTACAAAAGACATAAAAATACAAGTGTCACAGCACACCATTACTTAAAAATTGCTTACTTTCTCATTTTTATCATATAATTATAAAATAAATCAATTGGAATATAAATATTGTACTTAAATTTCAATGTATAGTATATAGAGCAGTATAAACAAATCATTGTCTATATGAAATTTTAGGTAGTACTGACTTCGCTAGTGCTTTTTATGTAGCCTAGTGTAAAACTAGGTAAATATCTAGATGAGTTGATGTACCCCCTGGAAGACCTCTACATACCCCCTTGGGTATGCGTACCTCTGGTTGAGAACCAGTGTTGTAGAGTGCTCAGAGAGAACCTGCATCATAATTCCTACCAGACATGGCTGTAACTAGCAGTGACACATGTGTTGGCAACCATATTAACTCTAGATTTAGGCTTGGCAACAGATACCATTCCAGCTGCTTCTTGCCTGAGGTACCACCCTCCCTTCCCAAGTGGGTAACTATCAGTTTCTACTTTGCCTCTCCAGCCTACCATCTTTGGTAGGTGTTCTCAAAGTAAAACGGTCCTTTAAAATATCTTCCCTCCTCCGAACAAGGTATTAGCTGCCTCAGGGTTGATACTAGTCCTCTTTACAATATACAGACTGCTGCCTACCAGACCCTCTCTCTCTTGGAGCAAGGTTTCTTTTTCAGAACCAAACACCCCAAAGGTTTGAAAATTTCAGAAAGTTAATGTTAAGGAATTTTCAGGGGGGGTGGGGGGGAAGAGAACCCAGTTTGAAAGCTGTGTGAGGTTAGAAGGGGAAAGAACTGTTTCACCTAGGCTGTTAGGCATTCTTTATCCCCTACAGAATTCAAAGGAAAAAGGGAACTCTAAGGACACAAAGCAGGCTACATGACAATACAAATCTGAAGATCAAACCTCTCTTTCTAGTTTTAGATAGGGTCCTTCATATAGCTTCCATGACTCCAAAAAAGCTACCTGAAGGGTTAAAATAATATCGGTGAGAAAACTAATAAAGGGATCTTTCCCGTTCATTCTGTTGTGGAATCCCAAGTGCTCTCTTTGGGAGAATCCTAATTCTACACGATCTTCCTCCTAATACAGCAAGATTGTTTATCTTGAGGAAATTTATCAAACTACCTGGGACTCAGCTCCTTCAGAAACCAAGAAACTCTCTTCTTCCCCAGAGGATGTGCAATCCCTGAGGAACTCAGACACAGATAAGGATTTTAAAAGGATTAGTATGTAGCAGCATCTCAGGCCTTTTATTTTAGTGCATTCCCTATCTGCTAGGTAACATAGTTGGGTACTATCGTCATAATTTTCTTCTGAATGACAGACACTAATCTCTTCAAACCACTTCCTGGTCATCAATTTATGCTTGCTAAAAGCACTACAACTTGAGCACTTAGCAGATGATGTGGATAACTGTGCCCACCTATATGTCAGTTTCCTATCTGAGAATTTCCCCCTCCCTTAGGCAAGATCAATAACTAAGAGGAAAGATTAATGGAATCTTTGTAATAGTGTCTGAATTGACATGCCAGAATGCAGAAATAGAATTACCATCTGGCAATTGTCTTTCTGCACAGTAATATATGCCAAATTGAGTGATTCACCCTAGAATGATCTGAGAAGATACTATACCAGTTGTGTTACAGATTTTCCTCCAATTAGCTTGCTTTGTAGCTTTCTCAGACTTTTGAAGTTATGTTTTGGAATAGAATTTGTTTAGATTCAAGTTAGTGTTTGTGCTTGAGAGTTTATTACAGAGGGACACAAGCTACTGATTTCTCAGAATACCCACAGGATGTAATGGAGCTGGTATTTCCCAGGGAAGTAATTGAAAGAAAAACCCTTTACTGATTACCATATGCCAACAGTTGAAGAGGAGAGCAGGAACAGCAGCTTCCATAATGGTGTATTACTGTCCAGAAAGACAGTTAGGTAAAGATTCTTATTTCCCTACCAGTTTTACAAGAGACTCCCTTCTGAATGCTCTTTTTAAAATTGTCCTCTCTTTAGAGGAGTGGAGGAAGTTAAACACCCTTTGTTTATAAATAATTTTCTATACAAGTTTCATATCACACCTGATTAACACCTCAGAGAAAGCTGAGACTGCCAAACGCTAAGCACGAATGCAGCTGGTATTGGAAAAATCACAAATTCTGGTGCCACAAATTGCACTTACTGGTAACCTCTAATGACAGGAGATTCAAAGTTCCCACTATTTAGTAATAGCAATGCAAAGAGCATTAGCACTTAGAAACTCTGATCAATGGTTCAAATGAGTTAATTTATAGCTAACATTAAACCTATGTTACTTCCAATTTGCCACGTGAAAACATGTAGGGTGGAGTGGGGGGAAGCTAGATTTGCCTTCAGTCTTGGAATGCTGGCTCTCAGGAGAGAAACTGAGACATTCCTAGTTTACACAGATGTGTGTAGTCTCTAGAAGAGATTGCCAAACTAATCAAATTCTGCTTCTTGACTTGCGAGTGTGGAACTGGCTTATCTAGGACTTTTTGCTTATTCACTTGGCTTGAGCTAAAAGAGGAAGACAATTATTTGGGGGGGAATGATTTCAGGTAGCTAGGGCATGACAATCTTATCTCAAAATTCAAACAAGCACTGTTATTCCATAACTTAGAGGGATAAAAAACTGTTTTTTAAATTAACAAGGCTGAAGGTTTAATCCATTTCTCCAGAGGCCCAATCAGCTTCTTGGTTCCTATAACAGCTGAGGTCAACTGGAGTTGCATATGCACAAATTAGGCCCCAGAACATTTAAATTCAATAAAACCAACACTATCTAAACATGTCATTTTTAGAAGATCCTATCATTAATGGTTTTTCTTTAATAATCATGTTCTACGGGTTTACTTGATTAATCAGATCCAGTAGGACAAACAAAAAACATTTGTTTTCAAAATTAGTAAATGGCACTTCAAAAGGAGAAAAAAATATTTAGAGACCACAGTAGCAATGGTCAAGTTATGGTTCAGAAGGCACTTTCATTCCAAGCTTACAATCAGGTGCTCATATAAGTAAAGGATAGCTTACTCTGGGCTGAAATTTCCCATGTTTGTTCTTAGCCCAATGGTAATTTTTTTTATTTTGAAGTTTGATCAACACCTAATTGGGGTCAATCTGTAGGACTGCCTTTATCTTTAATTGCTTAAGCTCTATTTTCACTTTTTAAAATGGCTGATAAACAGGAAGAATTATGTTTCTTACCACTGTTGCAGAAAGCAGCCTAAAATATACATAGTTCATTTCAAAGACCGCTTTTAAAAATAAAACTATCTGAAACATTTGGACCAAAAATTCAGGTGTGAAAAGAATGCTCAAAGAACACTGGGCATTTGAACCACATTAAACAATGCACGTTGAAATGCAATAAACCACTTAAGATGGACCCAACCCACACTTCTGCCAGACATCTGTCCCTGTTATCCCCTATTTTTATAGGAATGTATTATCATTAAATCATACATACAGCCAAAGAATGTGTGAAATTGTATGTCTGGAAGTGTCCTCATTAGCACTCAAAATTTGGAACAGGATGCAGGAGATCTAGATAAAAAGCCTTCAGGCATTGTGGGTCCCTTCAAAGAGAGAAACTGGATTTACTCAAGTAGATAATTATTTTTGTTAATAGTAAAGGCCAGATTTTGAACCTCAACTCAGTATCTCTTTAAGTAACTGATAAATGCAAGTCAATTAACATAATAAAACAACGATGTTGAGCTTACTTCGTTTTTAGTATGGTTCCTGCTGAAGCATGCCACAAGACTAAAATTATCCTCTTCAAATGTATCCAATCAGAATATAGTGTACTCTTTCCCACTGTTGGCTCATTCTTCTGCACTGCACAAGGGAACACTACTAGCGTTTCAACTTCTCTGCAAGTTGAGGAAAAGAAAACATCATTATTAGAGCAACACTGAACAGAGTTCCCTTTCATTTAGCAGTCTAATAGCAAACAAAATACAGTGTTATGTTCTCATTCCAGCAAACAGAAGAATACCACCCTCTTTTACCATTTTATGCAGGATATTTTCAACATCTAGAAATACAGTTTTCAAACAGGTGGTCGTCTTGTTTTAAAATCCCCAATTTCTGCCTGCATTTTGTCATCCACTTTTGTGATATCAAACTTCAACAAACCTACCTCACTTTCTAAGGTATTTATAAAGGCAATTGCATTGGTATATAAGAATTAGGTAACTGCGGGTGAACAGTGATTCTTAAGACTGCTGCTTCCTATGTACTGACAAGCAGTGGAGAAACAAGAGCAACTATGTTCATACCTAATACTACTCTCTCTACTTCCCAAGCCTTTCGACACATTGCATAATTCTAGGAAGTTGTGTGCTCAATCACAAGTCCCTTCTTAAACTCAGGGAGTTTGGAAAGGCAGAGGGGCTTTAACATTCGAAAAATGTTTTGGGATTCATTCATAATAAATTGCATGTATGCATTTTGTGAGAGAGGATGAGAAGGTAGTTCAGTTTCCATAACCATTTAGTCAAATGCCTCCTTCAAAGTGCCAAGGGTACCAGTTAATGCCAGTCATGATACACTTTGGCTTGTGTGACATGAATTAGTGTCAGTCTAGTTTCTGCTGAACAAATCACACATTGCAAATAGCCATCAGATGGTAATAACTGTCTTACTAATGATAGAAGCTGGAACTGAAGCAGTGACCTGTAAGCAAATAACTCTAAAGCAGGGATCTGCAACCCCCACGAGGTCACAAAATGATACCAAGGTGTCAAGATCACATTGTTCCCATACCCTAAGTGGGATCAAGAGAGGTCTTGCTATAAAAAAAGGGAATGAAATATGGAAATAGTTGATAACTCTTAGGGTATGTCTACACTACCCATGTTACAGCGCGACCACGGCAGTGATGTAACGTGGGCAATGTAGACACACTATCGCCAGGGGAGAGCTCTCCCGGCGATAAAAAAAAACCCAGAACGAGCGGTGGTAGCTTTATCACACTGTCTATGCTGGCGCTTTTCAGCGCTAAAACTTTTGTTGCTCAGGGATGTGTTTTTTCACATCCCTGAACAACAAAAGTTTTAGCGCTGAAAGTGGCAGCATAGACACAGCCTTACTCGTGCTCTAAAGCATTACCAGTCCTATGAGTAGGGCTCCGTGTCTGTCACGGAGCTCGTGGAAGTCATGGATTCCGTGACTTTTCGCAACCTCCAGGACTTCCGCAGGGGCCAGTGTGGCTGACCTCAGGGGTGCCAAAGCAGCTGGCCCCCGGGACAGCCACATCAGCCGCTGCTCCGGCGGTCACAGCAGCGGTCCCTGGCCAGCCGGCTGGAGCAGCAGTGGTTCCCGGCCGGCCAAAGCAGCCATGGCCTCGGGCAGCAGTCCTCAGCTGGCCAGCCGGAGCAGCTGCAGTCCGCTGGCCCCGGCAGCTGGTGCTGCTGGCCTTGGTTGCCCTCTCCCAAATTTAATCATCGGTATTTTTAGTATAAGTCATGGATAGGTTGCAGGCTGTGAATTTTTGTTTATTGCCCATGACCTCTCCATGACTTTTACTAAAAATACCCTGACTAAACCGTTGCCTTACCTATGCCTATGAGTTATACATTCCTCCTCTGCATCATGTATTACATTTGAGGTTCATTTTAAAGTGAACGTGAGGAAGTGTCATATGTTTCCATTCACTCAAGAAAAGAGCTATTTCAGTGAAATTTTAGTGCACAGATCAGACTCATATGTATGCAGCAGAGTGAAGTTAAAAAGTGATAGGTCCCTGAGAGAGAGCTGAATACTTAGCATAATTGTAGAACATACATCATTGATAACAGCAGACTGTAAATGTTTAGATGACTTTTTAGTTAACGTGTTGGAGTAATAAATGGCCATACTAAAGTTATTATCTGGCTACAGCTGAGTATGGGACATTTTAGAAATTATTCCTAAGGAAGATTGCCAAGTTCAACAGGCCTCAACATATGTCCTCACACCCTTTTAAAGGCAAAGGTTGTTTTCAGTGTCTCTGGTCATCCCCCACCTCCCTCCACCCATTAGCTTCCAAAAAGAAAAGCTGCAACAGTGTTAAAATTTCAGCTCCTCCTTAAGCAGCCCAACAGACAAGATATTGGGTTTACTGTGACCAAAGAGTCAGTTGTAACAAAGCTCAAGGCCCTGGGTGCGGTGTTTGATCTATCACCTTTCAGAAGCTGGCATTGAATTACAGCTGCTGCATCTCATTTAAAGAAGCTTTTTGTCTAACCCTTTTCCAAATCCACTGTCAGAGGTGATGATACACATCATAACCCAAATTAATTAACTGTGGAGTGGGGAGAAGGAAAATAAGTCAGGTCTTTCAATTCTGAATGAGTCCTTTTAAAAAGAGTATGCTCTGGGAGTGTAATTATCCCTAAAAAAAAAAATCTAGTCAGGGATATAATTATAAGGTTAAGGTAAAGCAGCTTTTTAACTGCTCTGTACCTTTAAAGTGAATTACTTCAGAAACTGACTTCAGGAAACTTCTACATTTCATTAAATTGTTATTTCTACATTAAGGAAGACTTGAAAAATTTACCTAGCCAGGATGAAAGATACCTGTGCTGAAACCCGCACCCTTCCCCAAACTGCCCCTGCTCCGAATTTCTGTATGTTTTAAAGTAATTTCTCACCCTATGCACCTAACATTCTCTTCCCCACCTGTACCACCCCCAACTCTCCCATTACACACATAAAACTTCATTTCATTCACCAATCATCTCACACACAGGGGCTGAAACATTTATTCAACACCTAACAGCCAAATTATTAAACTAGAGGAGCAGCTCCAATGGCCAGGAGCAACATCCAGGTGACAGCCACATCCCACACCAGCTGCTGTGAAAGTGAAAGGTGCTGGGATTCCTACCAAACTGATGTCCATGGTCTATACTCAGGGGTTCCATCTTTTGAAGTGTCTGGCTAGCAGGTGTCTCCTGCATCCTTCAAAGCCCCTCTGGTTGTTGCAAGAGTGATGGTGGGGTTCTCCCAACAAAACCATCATCCCCCCTGCATCTGATTTTGGCGCCCTCCTCTACTGCTCAGAGCTTTTCCCAAATTGAAACAGAAGAAAATTGATTATTCTTGTCAGTTTAATTGCTGCCCACAGAGTACTCTCTAACAGCAGTGAAGACTGGGAATGCTCTGGTCAGTTTTTGCTTGGATGCTGCTTTGGAGTTCTGAACAGCAATAGAGGAACTAAAAATCTGCGGATTTAGGAAGACAGAGCTTTCAGTTTCTACTTTGTTCATATTTGGAAGGTGATCTTCACAGTTATAAGGGCTAGAAACTTATTTCCAGATAGAAGCTTATATTTTGCAAAAGGAGATAGCAGGAAAGCTTCCTGCTTGCCAAAGGCTAGTGGATGTTTAAAGCCTTGTATTAAACAGTACTGCCAACCTTGCGAGTACTGTACCACTACACAGAGTACTCTGAAATAATTAATGCAATTAAGACATTAATTCATGAAATTAAGATTTAAGATTGCCCCTGTATGCTTAAAAAGATATGAAATCCTCATTCAATAACTTGTCAATAAACGTAATTTAAGATACATATAAACTTTTCTTCTGTAAATACAGCTGGCTCTACCAAAAGCCAATTTTAGAATTTTTCATTAGGCTCCCTGACTCAAAAGAAGTCAAACAAAACCCTGTCTGAATAGTGCCTCTGCTTAATACTCATGAAGCAGTTACAAAAATTGCAGAATTTTTTTAAAATACTCCAACTTAAAAAATGAAAATTATACTTCCGTCTGAAAATTTGTTACCTGCCATTGCTACAATTAACACATGATATTACTATAACTGAAATTAGTTTGTCTTCTTTGTGCATTTGACAGCACACTGTGACAGACAGTTTCACTGTCTCCCCCATATAACCAGTAACTTTCCCATGTTTGCGTGAATGCAAAGCAGTGGGAAAGATTTAAAAAATATATATATATATATATATATATAAAGTGATTAGAAAGATTATAGATATAGATATATAAATGATGTGATCAGATTTCAAGTTGATAGAGTCCTTTTATGCATTCCATGATCAGTTAATAAAAAGGGCTGATGTTTAGTTAGCAGATATATCCATTCACTACTGTATCACTGGGAAAAAAATTAGTATAAAATGGTCAAACATTTTTATCAAAACTAGTGAAGAGACGTTAAAAATAAAAGTTTTCCTCCTCTTATTCTGCTACAACTGGAACCTGAATTCTAAGCTCCAGTTAGGACAGATGCGTTACAGAAGTTTCAATTTCACAGGATCATAGGAACGTAGAGCTGGAAGGGTCCTCAAGAAGTGATCAAGTCTAGCCCCCTGTACTCAGGCAGGACCAAAGTAAACCTAGACCACCCTGAAAGGCGACTGTCCAACCTGTTCATGAAAACCTCCAATGATGAGGTTTCCATAACCTCCCTTGGAAGCCTATTCCAGATCTTAACTGCCTTTATAGCTGGAAAGTTTTCCCTAATATCTAATCTAACTCTGCCTTGTTGCAGATTAAGCCCATTACTTTTTATCCTACCTTCAGTGAACATGGAGAACAATTGATCACAGTCCTCTTTAGAACGGCCCTTAACATAGTTGAAGATTATTTCTAATAAAGGATAAACAACTGCCAAATTTAATAGTCCTACTATGGACTTATTTCTAATACATCTAAACTTTGATTCACCATTCATAACTAAAACAATGTAATATTCATTAACTCCAACAGGAATTTTGCCAGTAATGTCCGTGGAAGCAGGTTCGGGCCCCAAATTACCATTGCTGTGTAGAGACAGGTGCTGGATACAGCAACACCTTTATAACTTTGACTAAAATGCACAGCAGAGAAAGAGTATGATTCTGTTAAGTTGGCTTTCTACCACCAATTCTAGAAGTCAATTGTTCCTGTACGCTTTGAAAATTCTGCAGTTCCATCTTCGTAACTGACAGTTCAATTACAGCTAAATTGATGCTGCATAATTTGAAGATGCAAGTTAAACCATATTTCATCAATTGATTTACACATTAGTAAAAAAATGGGCACAATTTCCTTCCTTCATTCAGCACAGATTCTGCACCATATCAATAGAGTCAGAGTAGCATTTTTTATTTCTTACGACTACTGTAATTGTTAGCAATTTAGTTCTGTCCACCAGATTGTAGAGTAAATTGCTGCAAAATTATCAGTAAATAAAAGTCAGATTTAGTCTCATTTTGACCAAATCAAGATTCAGATTTTACTGTTAATTCAATACTATCTGACAAAAGCTTCATTCTGATAATCCATTTTAGAGAGCAGTTCCAAAGACCAGTTTTAAACAAACTGTCAACACTTGACTGCTGCCTCTGTGCTTTTGTTTTCAAACTTGTATTTGATTGCAATATTTCCTTTAAGATATCAAATTTGAGAAACACAAAAATAAATTCTGTACCTTATTCCTCCTAACGATTACTAAATATTCTGGAATTTGTTTTAGCAGACAAGCAAATAAACTACAACATTTACAGTCCGCAAAATAGGAAGATTACCATGAGATTCAGTCAAAGAGTAAACGTTTTATCCTTTTTATTGTGAACTAAAAACTCTTTCAATTTGTTAGATCATGCCAATATAGGTTACTATCTGTTTCTCTTAGATAAAAATTATATTTACCAGATATTCCTAGTAGTCTATTAGTTTCAGTGGAGAAGCTGTGTCATCTGTTCTTTGTACCAAAAACTGGGCCACAGATCTATTTTCACCTTCCATTTAAACACGCTAAAAACAATGCAAGGAAATCCCAGGGCCCAAACTATTAGTTACCAAAAAACACATTTTCACTAAAAGTTTTTGGGTGCCCCCCTTTTTAGACCTCCCAAAGTACCTTAAGCATTTTGATATAATTTCCTAGCTCAGTTTTTTATTACAATAATGAAAGTTACAAGCTACAGAGATGACATTTTGAAAACAGGATATACAAAATACTGCACAGCATTATTTAAAAGATATTAAAAATTAAAACTTCACACTTACGCAGTTCCTTTGCTCTGAGGAGCAGCCATGGCCTCTCCCTTCTGCCCCCCCTCCCCCCAATGTTCCTCCATGCCTCCCTATGGGGGCACGCCCCACAGTTTGAGGACCTCTGGTCTAGACTGTTGAAACTTAGATATATTTTAATATTTGCAAGTCAATTCTGCCTCCACTAACTGTTCAAAATACCCAACCACAGAAGAAACTGTGGAAAACACTACAAATACCTAAAACAAAGCAAAATAATCCTGTGTGAAGTCATCAAAAGACATATGAATGCAAGATTCGGATGAAAGATGATCAGCTATTTCTCAAATGTCTGGATATTACTTATATCTAAGCTTGGAAGTAAGATTTTTATCAGTAAATGTTGGTAAACATAAATTTCACCATACACATAAACCCATGAAAAATAATTCCATCAATGATAACTGAAATTTACAGAGACAAAATAAGAAAAATGCTGCTTGAGACCTTCTTAGAGCTTGATTTGAGAACATTTAGGTTTTATGTTTTGACATGTGATGTTGACAATTTGTGTTTTAAGTTATAAAAACATAACTTCTTGAATCTCAGTGTCTACTGTCATTAAACAATTGTCTGAACCCGTCTGACTACCTATAATTTCCCACAACCATGAAAATTTAAATCAATAAAAATATGCAGAAAAATAGACATGGGTATTATCCCTGCAAATCATAAAACAACAACAACAACAAATTTCTCCCAAGCCTAGTTACATCACACCCCACCCTGGGCTTCCCACCTGTCAGGAGACACAGGTCCCCTCCCCAGAGGGCTTTCAAAGCTCGTGGATAAATTATAAATTTACTGCGAGTTTGATAGTTTAAGATTTTTTTTTTTTCAATAAAATGTTGAGCGGGGTCAAGTTTCCCCGATGCGCTGCCCCCACCCCCACCCGTGGGCTGAGCTCGGAAGGGGGCGAGGGGGATAAATTAGCACAGTTCCGGGGGGGGGGGGGGGGCCCGGGGCCCGGGGGCCGGGGGGGTACGCAGTTGCCAAACGACGCAGTCCGATTCCCCCGGGTGGGTGGTTGCCAGGGGCTCTGCCCGCCCCGCGCCTACCCGGCAAAGCGGTGCGGGCCCCGCTCCGAGTGAGGGGCGGGCGGGCTCCTGCTTCTCCGTAGGCAGTTACCACCCACCCCACCCCGGGGGCTCTGTGGCCTTTTGTCCAGGGCCCCGCACGGCGGCCCCGGCATCCGCCCCAGCCCCCGGGGCGGGGAGGCCCCAGCGGGAGCCGCTCTGAGGAGCCCGCGGGGTGGGTGAGCGGAACCCCCCGACTCTCCCCCCGCGGGCGCGCGCAGGCCCCCGGCGCCCGAGCGGCGGGATCTAGAACGCGGCGGCGTCACGGACTCACCCGCGGGCCCGGCTCGCGCTGCTCCGTCCCTTCACCGCTGGGCGACGAGCAAACAGCCGCCCGAGCCACCGTCACCTGCCGCCGCCGCTTCCAGCCGCCGAGAGAACGAGACGCGACGACGTCAGCGCGCAGAGGGGAGGGGGAACGCACCGTGGCGGGGGGGAGCCTAAGAGGGGGTGGCGACAAACCAGACCCCCCCATTGGCGCGCCGCCAAGTAGCCCCTCCCCCCGCGGTGTCTCTCTGGGGAGACCCCCAGCCTACAATACTCACAGCCATCTTCCTACTGCTGCGCGTGTCCGCCGCGCGCTCCCTCTTGCTGCTTAGGCCCCGGCCGGTGGCGCGCGGCTCCTGGGGCTCGCACCGCGCGGAGCGCTGCGGAATGTGTCTGAGCTGGTGCCCAGCAGCCCGGAGCCGGCCGGCCGCCCCTGCGCCTGGCGCTGCGCAGACCCGGCTCCCCCTTGCGGCCTGCGGCGGCGGGGACCCCACAGCCCCTAGCCCAGCCCTCATGCTCCAGCGCTGCCGGCCAGCGGGCACCAGCTGCTCTCGGAGTCTGACCTCGGGCGCGGCTGCGCCCGCCCAGCCCTGCAGGGAGCCCCAGCGGCAGGGTTTGGCCAACGCGAATCTTCCAGCTGGGCAGCCAGCTAGCCTGGATCTGCAGCCCGCCAGAGGTGGAGAAGCTCGCAGTTCGCTTCAGTGGTGACTCCCCTGCACTGTTATTTTATACCTAATGTTGCATGTGTCCGGCTTGAGCTCCCAGCCCCTGGTTCTTGTCCTGCTTCCTGCCGCTGGATTAGCGAGCCCCTGTGGACCCGGTATTTTCTCGTTGTGCGCTGTGGTCTTTTGGATCGGCTAAGCTCTTCAGGTCTCTCGCTATAAGGCATTTTTTCCAGCTCTTGGATCGTTTTGGTGGCTCTTCTCTGCACCTCTCCATTTTTTCAGCATCCTTTTAAAAACGTGGGCACCAGATTTGTATACTGTGTTCCAGTATCGGCCTCACCAGTACTGTATATAGGGGTAAAATCACCTCCTCATGCCTACTCGCTACTCTCCTCTTTACACACACCAGAATTTGCTGTAGGTGCCAACGCAATATAAATGTTATATAATAATCTCTAACAATTATGCTGCATGATGAAAATCAGCCGTGCTATAAATTACATGGGCTGAGTCCTGAAGTGCATCCTAGTGCTCACAATTTTATTCTGAGTTTCACAGTATTTGGTGGCTTTCATAAAGCTGCAGCTCCTGGACTGAAGTGATTATGTGATAACCTCAGTTTTTATTAAAAAGAGGTAAATTTCTAGCCAGAGAATAGCTTCAAAACACAACCTGAGAGCACAATAACAGCCCCACAACCAAATAAAAAGTACCCATATGTACTATGTTTTAAAATCTCATTCTTTTTAAACCACAGTCAAGATTAGTGGAGCACATGATTTTTGAACACGAGGTTGTACCAATCATAACACTACTGAACTGGTAAGCACATGTGTGTGTTTGTACAGTACTACTTGGCAGGATGGGATCAGGAGCCCTCTGCCATACCATACTGTCCTGCAATGCTGACTACAAAAGGGAACTTGCCTTTAGCTTAAGTACTATTTTTGCAGCAGAAGGAAATGAGTTCTGTTCCCATTGCCTCCCTGAAGTTCTCAGCAGCTTTGGCATGCAGCATACATTAGGCAGCCACAACTCCCATGGGAGATTTCCTAAGTAGCAACTGATTTGTTACAATATTTTATGCTGAAGTTGTGAGTCTGGACCAGACCACGGATCCAAACATCTAAAATTTTGAGATATTCTGTTCTGAATCTGAGCTTCTCAGCCACCATACTCAGTCTTTAGGCTGATTTGTCACCACATCTGAACAACCCTGTGCTTGGGAGAGGTTCAGATCCAGACTTTGAATTTTTAGCCCACTTCTGTTTGTGGCTCTAAAGCCTTGCCTGAACTGGAGAAATTTATCAAAATAATTCCCATCAGATCTGACACTAGTTCAGCTGAACTAGTGAATATGGTGGGAGCCAATGTATGCAAGACTCCAGCATCTTGAACTTTTTTTTTTAAACCAATTAGACTGTTTTTTCAGCAGATTTAACTAAATTTGTGGCAAAACCTTCCAGCCACCAGTACCCTTTGTAGACTGTGTAGACCAGCTTTAACATCACATCACCTGAATCAAAAGTTAGAACTAGTGAGAATTTGGGGATTAGTTTTTCCAGTGTAGACATGGGACCATTCAACCCAAATGACCGCACCTTACAAACTCTATGCATACAGTACCATTGAAGTACTACCATCTTTGGAGTGGAAGGTGATAGCCATATAGTGAGGGTGGAGAAATTCATGCAAAGGTCAGCCACACTTTTTCTAAATGGGTGTAAAATTCAGTTGATCCTATTCACACCAATGAGACAATAAAAATGTAGGATACTGTGTTTAGTTCCTGTTGTCAAATAGGACCGAGAAGTCTATTCTACAAACATCCTCTCTGCAACAAAAGACTGGTAAATGTTGAACCAGTAAGAGGAAGTGCAACTTCACATAACATATAGCCTGCAGTAGGTCATGAATCATTTGCCCTTCACTTAACAAATCTTGGCAAAACTAAAAGTTTAACAAATATAACTAAGAATATTTTGAATACACTTCAGAATATGCAGTCAGACCTTGATAGACCACAAAGCTTTTAGGCCACACTTTTTGGAAGATAACACCCAGTTTACACCAGAAAATGGGGACACTGGGGGAAAATCAGTATCTGTCTCTTATCTGTCATCAAGAAAGATAACCGAAGGTTACTAAAGAGTTTGAAACAAAAATTCAAAGATTTTTTTAAATCACCAAACTCTTGTAAGATTTGAGAAAGTCCTATATATCATTAGCACTATTCAACAAAATTTGACATAATTATATCCAAGGAGATGTTAATGTGGCAGCCTGTATTGCTATATAAAGTGCTTCCTGTCAGCCTGAGCCAAATAATAGTTGCAAATTAAACAAATAAATACGTTTACTGGTAATGGTTTTTTTTAGCAACAATAGACTTAATCCTTTGCTCAACCAGAACCTGATCCTGTAGTTGTTAAATGAGGCCAAATTCCCATTGAACTTGATGGGACTTTGACCTAAAAAAGTATAGCAGGTCAGGACCCTTAAGGGACCTAATTAATGAAAGCAAAATTACTATTAATGCATACAGCTTCATAGGAAAAAAGCTGAAAATCTGAAATTGAAAATTAAGGGAAAGATCCTCAGGCGGTATAAATTGCCATAATTCCATTTACTTCAATGGAGCTATGACAATTGACACCAGCTGTGGATCTACCCTTAAGATTCACTGTGAGATGCAAAATATATCTCAACCCTCACTACAGAACAAACATTCCTGTCATTATATTCCATGTTGTTATATGTGGTTATATAGTTATATCCAAACTATACCAAAACTAGATACCTAAAATACTACACTGGACCATTGGCCTGGAAATAGACTAAAGTGATGAGGCCCATATATAGTTAGATAGGAAAAAGAGAATGAAAAGGTGATTTGTTCTAGTTCATCAACAAACTTTCCTAATAGCAAATTTTGTTTATTATGTATAAGATGTAAAATAGGTCTTATACAACACCACAAAAGCAGTGTCATACACCCTTGAGGCTATTCTTTTTTGTGTTTTGTCACCTATGGTTGGTTCATATGTTGTGGTCATGCCTTTTTTATTTATTTTTTTTTTTTTTGCCTGTTGGAGCACTATTTATTACTATTATCTCTAGTGCATCTCTAGGGGTCAAAGTGGCTGCTCTAAGCGCTATTCTAAATTATGCTGGCTGCAGCCAGATGCTGTGCCTGCCGAAGATTGGGTGAGTACTGTGCACTCTGCCCCATTCCTTCTTGGCCATACTTCACCACCTTCAACATACTCCCTACGTGGAAGTGAGGGGAAGTAAGAGATGTATAGCTGGCTACGCACCACTCAAGGTTTCCCCTGCATCGGGGGGAATCCTTGGTTGGTTTTTGCTAGCCCCAAAGCTATATTTTTATTGTATATCTGACACATTTGTTTTATGAACCCCTGTTGCTTAACACTCACCACATCCTTTTCCCTGTAAGAACTTTTACAAATATCTGTGTGGATTGGATTCATTTACACTGATAACAGACCATAAACCATTTGAAACCCTCAGCAATGGAAAAGACCTGGATCAAGCACTAATGAGATGCCAACTTCTATTGATAAGGATAATGCGACTTCACTTACTTTTTATTTGAATAATAGCTGAGATTGTAATTCAATCACATGTCTCCAGGAGCTGGGACTCTGAAAACAATCACCAAATATCACAAGACTCATGATAAAATCACAAGAGTTGGCAACTCTTTAGTCCCCAGACAGAGGACATGTCAGATATTAAAATTAAAACAGAGGTTACACTTTATTTTAGTAAGAATTGGCACTAAATTGTCAAAATTAGTTTGTTCTTATTTTCATGTGTCACAAACACTACAAGTTGCAGTTCCTTGCTGGATCACTAGATGGTATATGAGGTAGCTGTAGGGAAGCTGAGCTGTCAAGGAAGCTCTAGTTAGAATTTAGGCAATGCTACAGTATCTGTCTTTATTGCCCTGGTTCAGACACACCTGACTTGTGTTTAACTGCAGAGAAAATCCATGCAAAATTATTCCTGACAATTACCACTAGAAGTGACTTAGGTTGAAACCCTAACCCCACTGTAGTTAATGGCAAAACTCCCATTTAACTTCTGTCGAGCAAGGTTTTGCTCCTAGAACTCTCAGGGTGTATCTACATCATCATTTTAGCATTTTCCAGGAAAATACACATCAGCATTTTAGACTTCCAGCTCATTTAAGACTGGAACAAGGTATTCAAACTTTTGTAAGAATCCAACTACACAGTTAACTGCTGAAGTGTTTGCAAGGAGCTTACACTGTTTCTATCAGACCACACTCACCAGAGCTGTGTGCTGGTGACCCTTCTGCAGGGTTCCAGATCTTAATGAGACAATAGTGGAAATATAGCCCTAGTGTTCTGACCAGTACTGTGTGAAAGCCGTATTACTCCTCATGCACATTGTTATATGTACACTAGAGGATACGATATTTCTGAGTGCTGCAATTGCACTATCACTGCAGTAGTAGCTCTGTGCAATGACTTTATGAAGGAAATTGAGAAGATGAAAAGCAGAAAGCGTGAGAGGAACATGCAAAAAGAAAGAAGAAATGAACCAAATACACTTAAAAAAAATCGATGTTTCCATCCTGAAATTAAAACGAGATTAGCAACTGAGAAAAAAGGAAAACAATCTTGTTTCTAAAAAACAGTAATTCTTAAAAGGCAACCTGGAAGTGCCAGAAAATCTTGTTCTCCTGA